GGGGCTCGAACTCACGGACCGCGAGATCGTGACCTGGCTGAAGTCGGATGCTTAACCGACTGCGCCACCCAGGCGCCCCTGTAGTCCCCATCTTAAAACAGGGCCCTGCCCGTGGTAGGTACTCCTTCTAGTCAGCTCTGGCCACCATCACAGAAGCCCACAGACTGGGTGGCTCAAAACCACAGAAAAGTGTTTTCTGACCGTCCAGAGGCCACAAGTTTGAGGTCAAGATGTCAGGAGGATTGGTTCTTCTGAGGCTCTCTTCCATGGCTTGCTGATGGCTGCCTTCTCCCTCACGTGGTCTCCTCACCGTGCCTACCCGTGTCTTGCTTTCCTTTTCTTACAAGGACACCAGTCTTAGTAGATTAGGGTCCACCCTAATGACGTCACTGTAACTTCATCACTTTTTTTTTTTAAATAATTTATTTTTTTTTGAGAGAGAGAGAGAGAGAGCAAGCACGAGTGGGAAGAGGGACACAGAGAGAGAGAGAGAGTGAGAATCCCACGCGGATTCTACACTGTCAGTGCAGAGCCTGACGTGGGGCTCGAACTCACCAACCATGAGATCATAACCTGACCTGAGCTGAAATCAAGAGTCGAACGCTTAACTGACTGAGCTACCCAGGTGTTCCTAATGTGACTTATTTATTTGAGAGAGAGGGAGAGAGAGAGAAAACAGAGTGGGAGTGGGGGGAGGTAGAGAGAGGGGGAGACACAGAATCTGAAACAGGCTCCAGGCTCTGAGCTGTCAGCACAGAGCCCGACGCGGGGCTCGAACTCATGACCCGCGAGATCATGACCTGAGCCGAAGTCGGACGCCCCACCGACTGAGCCACCCAGGCGCCCCTCACTTCGTCACCTCTTCAAAGACCCCGTTTCCGAGTACAGTCACCGTCTGAGCAGGCGGGGTGGGGGGTGAGGCCATCGGTTGGCTTTTGCTCTCAAGGTGCCCGGTGGCTGGTCTGTCTCTTGGAGGAGGACGTTTGCCCTTCCCTCTTGTTTCCAAGTGGGGCACTCCTTTGAACTCGTCGGTGTGGCAGTAACCTGGAACTTTCTTCCCTACCTAGCCCAAGACCCTGAGTTCCACAAGGTGTGCGATGAGTTCAGTTTCCAGTGCCAAAACGGAGTGTGCGTCAGCTTGATTTGGAAATGCGACGGCATGGACGACTGCGGCGACTACTCTGACGAAGCCAACTGCGGTAAGATCTCGGGCCTCCAGCCTCCTGTCCCCAGCCTCCGGGTCATGGCGACTCCTGTGGTCAAGGAGGGCCACGCTCGGCACACTCCCACGCAGGCTCTGCCTTCTCTGTCCTCAGCACTTGTTCCTGCCAGCTGGCGAGCGAGTCTCCATGTAAGGAATCGAGTCTTGAGGGGGCAGCCTGCCCCCCAGGAAGTGTCGGTGGCCGGGTCGGGGTCAGGGTGGGGGGAGAATGTTTACGCCCATTCCTTCTCTTTCCCCAGCTGGGAAGTTCACATTATGTCTAAGGAATATGGTAGAGGAATTATGGTAAATATTTCAGATTTCACAGTTTTGGGTTTGTTTTGTTTTTTTTTTTCCTTAAATCTAAATTCCAGGTAGTTAACATACAGGCTAGTCTTGGCTTCAGGAGTAGAACCCAGTGATTCATCTCTTACACGTGACACCCAGTGCTCATCCCAACAAGTGTCTTCCTTAATGCCCCCGACCCATTTAGCCCATCCGCCCACCCACAATCCCTCCAGCGACCCTCGGTTTTGTTCTCTGCATTTAAGAGTCTCTTATGGTTTGCCTCCCTCTCCGTCTTTATCTTATTTTTCCTTCCCTTCCCCTACGTTCATCTGCCGTGTGTCTTAAGTTCCACGTATAAGTGAACAGATTCTGCAACTTAATAGAGTCTTTGTCCTTGTTGGGGCATCGTCACTAGTTAGGTCATCCCTTTGGTAAAGTGTCAAAAAGTCGGGCGTTATTTGTAAGATACAGAAGCCTAGTTCAGAGAAGCACGAGTTGGGATCCGGGAAGACGGGCTTCTGTTTGCGGATATGTATCTTTTTGGCTGCCCGCCGTATCTGGTAGGGTTGTGCAGGCTGCCCTGGGACCTGGGTATCTGTTTGGCCTTTATGTCCACATTTGGTGCCGGGCCAGTGACTGACTGTGTGGTTCCTCTCCCCCAGAAAACCCCACAGAAGCCCCAAACTGCTCCCGCTACTTCGAGTTCCAGTGTGAGAATGGCCACTGCATCCCCAACAGGTGGAAGTGTGACAGGGAGAACGACTGTGAGGACTGGTCTGATGAGAAGGACTGTGGAGGTAAGGGTCCTGAGGCAGCCCCATGCCCAGGAGTCACCAGCACACTGCCTTCCACCTTTCTGCACAGAATGTCGTTCTGTCTCCTCATTGTCAGGCCGGTTCAGTGATCCGGGGTGGGGGTTGAGTAATAACTCTCTGAGTTCTTTTCTGTCCTCTCCCACTTTGAAAACCAGTGTGGCTGGTTTCTCCGGTTTCTAGGTATTTTGCAGGCCCCCGGAAAGCGCTCTGCAGCCTGGCTGCTGCAGGTGTGGTCTTCGGACCAGCGGCCGGCCTCCGCATCTGCTTGGGGCTTGTTAGAGATGCAGTGTCTGACCCCACCCCAGGCTGCCTTTGAGTCAGAATCTGCATTTTAACAAGGCCTGCGGGTGACGAGTGTGCCTCACTACATCTGAGAAGCACTGGTGTGGAACGCGAGCAAGCTCGTTACCTTCCCTTCTGGCATTCTCACGTCCGAACTGGGTCTCAGGGGGGTGCAGTAGTTGACTCTTCACCAGAACAGCGTTCAGCCTCCGTGGGATGAGCTCTCTCACCCTCCCTGTGCGTTCCGACTCACCTGCCCTCCGTCAGCCTGCAAAGGCACTGAGCCCCTATTGAGTAAGAGCAAACTCGTTCGAATATTAGCCCAAAGCGAGCACAATAGGATAGGTGCATGTGCCTCAACAAAGGGAAAAGATCGCCGTCCGTTGTGATGCCCCAGTATCAATGTGCGGTTTGAGGTCATGGCTTCCCGTAACACTCTGGGTTTTCTCGCTTGCTTGTGTTTTGCTCAGATTCACACGTTCTTCCCTCCCCGACGCCCGGGCCCTCCACGTGTCTGCCCAATTACTACCGCTGCAGCAGTGGGGCGTGCGTGATGGACAGCTGGGTATGTGATGGGTACCGAGATTGTGCAGATGGCTCAGACGAGGAAGCCTGCCCCTCGCCTGGTGAGTGCCGGCCCTGCCCTCTCCTGGGGCACCTGCTTCTGTGGAGCAGGGCCTCAGGGGTACGCCCTGGGCGCGGCGCCCCGGGCGCCGGGCTCGGTTTCCCCTGCCTCCTGGGACCCTGTGCTCGGTGGCCAGGCTGCTGCTCACCTCCAGAGCAGGGAGACCCGTGGAACTTGTGACTGGAGCGTCTCGTCTCCTATAACCGCCTTTTGATCTTCCTGCACGAAGAGGCCAGCCGCCTTGCTTCCCACCCTGGCTGTGGTTGGGCCACCTTTGCTTCCTTCTGCACAGGAAATTAGAATGGGAATTACAGGGAAAATATTGGTGTGGGTTAACAACACTCTCCGGGGGAGAGTCCGACTTTCCTGCCCACTAGCTGGAGGCCCTCCTACTAAAGGAGGGTAAGCACTGCCATCTAGTGGCCCAACGCAGAGAGGCCTCTGAAGGTGTGGGCAGTAAACCATGTTGCTGGAGGCGGGGGTAAACCCTGAGACCCCCTGTCTAGTGCATGCCCTTAACTGCAGGCAGGACAGAGGTAAGGGTGCTGTGTTCTTTCCTCAACCGGATTCTGTTGCATATTCAGTTTATGATGAGAAAATAGACAGTTGTCCGCCATGCTTTGCAAATCCTTTTCCTAGCAAACTTCTAGGTCAACACTGATTTTCCTCCTTTAAGACTCATCCGTCCCATTGCTTCACTGTTTAACATCATCAGTGGTTTCCTCTTGTCCCGAAGATAGATCCCAACCCTTGAGTCTTCTTTTCTTTTTTTATTTTATTTTATTTTTTTTTTATTTTTCAACATATGAAATTTATTGTCCTTAAGTCTTATTTTCAAGGCCCTTCCTTGCCTGCCATTGCTTCGCACCTCTGCCAAGCTGGGTTCCTCCTTCTCATCCTCTCTGGAAAGACCTGCTTCTTCTCTGCTGATATTGTTTCAGCAGGGTTTCTGCCTCACCAGAGACCTCTGTCCTCCTTGGCCTTGTCCTCCTCCGACTCCCCCCCACCCCCCATGAAACCATCCATCACGGCAAAGGGAGGCATGGATTTTGCAGCTAAAAGAGACCTTGATACGCCCTCCGTATTTATCAAAGAAAGTGTGGAACAAAGACCACCTGTAAGGGAATCACTTGGGGTGTTTTTTTTTTAAATATATTTTTCAATTTTTTTAAATGTTTATTGAATTTTAAGAGATATAGAGAGAGAGACAGAGCATGGGCAGGGGAGAGACAGAGAGAGAGGGAGACACAGAACCGGAAGCAGGTTCCAGGCTCTGAGCTGTCAGCACAGAGCCCAACGCGGGGCTCGAACTCACGAGGTGCGAGAGCATGACCTGAGCTGAAGTCAGACACCCAACCTACTGAGCCACCCAGGCGCCCCGCACTTGGGGTGTTTGTAAAAAATACAGAATTAGGATTTCTGTGTGGAGCTCAGGAGCTCCCCATGTGACCTGTAGGTTCACTAAAGTTTGAGATTCTTGGAACAAGTACACCATCATTTTCTGTCACGAGGCCACCACCATGGGGCTTTCACCGAGTCCTGTAATTGATATAGTTGATATTGATCTCTTTTCCAGTCTCACGTTTACCCTTTGTCCTTTTGATCCCTCACTATGATCTGTCATGTGCTGCTTCCTGGTCATTTCACGTGTGGGAATCTTTCCTCCCCAAGCGATTCTGTGGACCTTGTATTTTTGGGGATCGTGCTGCATACCGCTTGGAATCCCCACTTTGCCGATTACAGTAATAGGCAAATAGTTAGTGTCCCAAAAACGTTTCTCAAAACAAATTAAAAAAAAAAAAGATATTTTTTAAATCTCTGTCCTTGGCCCCCAAGACCCAGCTATCTGGTTAGTGAGTGTCTCGATTCTCCTTCTCTCACAATTGTCTTTTGGTTATCGGAACTGTGAGCAGGGTATTAACAGACTCTAGCAAATTCTGCTTAATCCAGTGAGCAGATTCCTATTTGGATTTTCCATTCAACTTCTGTGATTTCTTTTGCATGTACGTCATCAGGGCAAATTTAATTCAGGTTGTCTCCAGCTCTCAGATCTGGTTTCTTTATTGCGGGTCTCCTAACTGGTCTCAGGGTCTTGTGTCTCTCCCGTTTTCGGTTTACCTTCTGAGAGGCCGTATATTGATGCATGATCTTGTCCTCCCCAGTTTGGAACTTTCTAGCGGCCCCCTCACTGTCCAGGCAGTAGTGCTGTGATGTGCCTTGGCCTGGCTTTCTAGCCTCATATTTTACTGCTTTTCCTCATGCACCCTGTTTTCACAGAGTGGTTCTGGGGGTAGGAGAGGCCCCTTTGAAAACCCAGTTAAAACCATGGAATGAGCCCAATATCCCAGAGTTAGTACCTGGTTTTTGTTGTTGTGTCTGTTAGCTCAGGTTATCGTGTGATGTTTGCTAACGCTGTCTCTCTCTTCATGACCTCTGAGGGTAACTCTCCCCAAGGTCACCGTATCAGTGATTTCTCAGCCCCAGAGTTTCTCTGGGCGATTTTCCTTCTAATGGCCTAGATCTCCCTCTCTGGGCCCAGGGGTCTCCAGGCCCCCTGCGTGCCCCTCCCCGGGGCCTTCACTGCCCTCCTTGGGATTCTCTTTGCCTTTCTCCTGGTTTAGATTCGCTGCTTCCTGGGTCTCGTGTTTTGCTTTTCTCGGTTTACTCCCTGGTGTTGTTGGAGTACACCCTCTGGTAGTTTTGCCAGATGCATGTGGTGGCACAGTGGCCGAGACACAGAGAGGATAGCCTTCAACGTGTATGTCCCCTGAGTTTGCTGCTTGGGTTTGTTGTGCCTGTTGCTGTCGGTGCCTGGGCCACAGGTGCCTTGTGGGACATGTTTTCTCCATCCTAAGGACTTGTTTTACTTCTCTCATGTTGGAGCTTCTATTTTCTGTATCCTAGATTTCTCCCCTCCCCTCCCTTTCCAGTTCAATCCCACTTTTTGGTAGAGCACATTTTCCAGAACGTTCTCAAGAAAGGGAACGTGGGAGGTATCATTGAGGTCTTGCTTATCTAACAGTGTTTTTCTTCTGTCTTCAGATGTGGTTGACGATTGTTGGTCCGGGTTTGGAATTTTATGTTGTCGGTAATTCTCCTTAAGAATTTGGCTCCCCTGCCGTTGAACCGCTCTTGGGAAATTCAGAGTCATTTTGATTTTGATCTTTTACATGTTGCATGTTTGTTTGTTTGTTTGTTCGTTTTTTAACTCTCTGGAAGCTTGTAAGGTATTCCCTTTGGCTCCAGTGTTTTGAAATCTCACAACGATGTGCTTTGATGCAGCTTCCTTTCCATCCAGAGTGGTGGATGGACGCTGATAGGCTCTTTTATCCTTCAAATTTATGTATTTGAGTTTGGAGAGTTTTCCTTGAAATATGCCATTAATGGTATCTTCTTTTCTGTTTTCTCTTCCGGGAACTCGTGTCATTCATGCATTAGATCTACTGACGTGGTCCTCTTGTCTATTTTTTTAAATTTCTTTATCTCTCTCTCTCTTTCTCTCTCTCTCTCTCTCTCTCTCTCTCTCTCTCTCTCTCTCTCTCTCTCTCTCTCTCTCTCTTTTTCTGTTTTCTGGAAGACTCACCCTATCTTTCAGCTCTACTACTGAGTTTTCCATGTCAGTTACCATGGTTTTTAATTTTAAGAGATTTAAAATTTCTAGTACTGTTCCTTTTTCATGGCATCTTGTCTTTTTTCATGCAGAAATCTATATTCTTTCATTCTGAGCGTATTAAGGATCTTTATTTTTTGAAGTTTTCTTCTTACAAAATCTCGGTTTCCTCCAGATTTTCTTTATTAGGAGGGGAGAGGGTCCGCACTGGTTTCTGTCTTTCATGTCAAAGGTTTTGCCCGCATAATCCTGGGGTATTGGCTTGTGTTTAAGGCTGGGGACGAAAACACTGCCAAGAGACTCCCCACAGCTTTGAGTTTCATGCTTGGGCTGTTTATTGGGGAACTCCTGATCCCCAACAAGAGTTGGCGTTACTTGAGGGTTTGTCCCCGAGGCTGGTCAGTTGCCCTAGAGGAGAGTTTTTGCAGTAATCTACTGCCTAGAGAATAAAGGTGTCACTGCCACGGTTTATGAGGAAGGGGACCAGGGTCCTCGCCTTCAGCAATCTGTGAGTTTAACCCCTTTCTTCAGTACAGCATTCTTGCTCTTAGCTAGGCCTAACCAGCCCTTTTTACCCTGCACATTACAATCCTCCAGTCTTCTGTGGGAGTGATGTATGGGGTGATTGTCTCATGGGGTTAGTAGGAGCAGGGGACTTGGGAATCTTTAGTCTGTGCCCTTGTTGTCTTTCTCCCTCTTCTCTCCCAGTTCAGGTATGCCTCATCTGGTCTCTTGGGTCACTTACCACTCTCTGTCTACATCTAGCTTCCAAAGTTAGATGCCCACGTCTGGTCGATCCGCCTTCCATATCCAGAGCTCACCTTTGTCTCCAGGCCCCCATCGTAATTCCCAAAGCACTGTCATTTCCTAAATTTCCTAATGCGTCGAGTTGGTTGCTCTTGCTGACCGGGTCCCTCAGTACTGAAAAGTGAATTAAAAAAAAAAAA